TATACAAGTACATTAAAAATAACATATTTTAAATAATATATAAATTGCATATATGTATATATAGATAGAGAGCTATACAATATAGAGGACTAGAGAAGAATTATGATGGTAGACATTGGAGGAAAATATTGAGCTCTGTAGAATCCTTTATAAATCAGTTCATATAAAAGGATAGTCATTTTTTGGTCCCTTTTTGTTGTTGTTTGATGTTGTTGGGGATGAGGCTAGAGTCCCAAAGAAAGTGTGAACCATCATGCTCTCCGCCAGGGTCCAGAGACCCACTAGCCTAAAGTGTGATTTCCAGTGAACCTACTGGTACAGTCCCTTTGACTTCTTTCCCTGTCTCCCTTTGCTGAGGAAGCCAATGATTAGATGCTTTGCGCCAGGAGTGGGAGGAGGGGCAGGAGGGAGGGGATTAGGGAGAGGAAATCCTAGAAAAAAATATCCTGGGAAAACTCAGCAGGCCCTCATCTCCGCACAGCGCTTTCCCACGCCTTCGTGGGGCGCAGGGGAGCTCAGGGGGCACTGCACTGGCTGCCCGGGCCCTGGGTTCGGGCTAGCTTGGGACCCGGTGATGCCTGCCTACCCCTCGACCTCCACTGCACACTTGAAGTTCCCTGAAGTCCTCCAGGCGCGTCCTGTCACTTTCCTAGTTGAATGAGGGGCGGGAACAAACATGTGGCTCTTCCTTCAAACTCCCAGGCCCCCAAAGGCCCAGGAAATGCCCAAGGTGAGGCTAGGGCAGGCTTAAACCCATGGGAAGTCGGACTCCAAACCCCGACTGGTTTCCAGGCCGGTGCTGAGGTCAGGGGCCCTTTGGCGCTTCACCTTTCGGAAGGTGACCTGGAGGAGTGTGAGGAGTGGCGTTGGGGCCGCTCTGAGAAGCGGGAACCGGGGGGCTGAGATCCCCGGGAAGTCTGTGACCACCCGCACTGCGTCTCCAGCTGCGCTCCTCCCCCGCACGCTTCCCGGCACCGGCACCCGGGGCAGGGGATTTCGGTGTGGAATCCGCAGGCAGAGTTCTGGGCCCTCACTCCCACTTGCCAGATCAGATGATTTTCACCGACTGGAGCTGCTGGGAGGTGGGGGTATTTACTGTTAATCCTTTTATGTGTGTTCAGCTCACCTTGTGTGGTTGGGTGTGGGAAGGAGGGAGGGGGGTTTCCAAACCAAGTGGAATTCTCATTCCATGGGCATGAACCTGCCCGCGGGGTTGGCAGTTCTTAAAGTTTAGCAAGTCTGCAAATAAGTACAGAACACAATAGAGTCTCCCTCCCTTCCTCTCCCTTTTTTCTTTTTTTTTTCTTCTTTTCCTGCTTCCAAATGCTTTCTTCGAGGCTGAAGCTGGGCAGGTCTCCAAAGGTGCAGCAGCCACAACAATCCCGCACTCTTTTTTTTTTTTTTCTTTTCCTGCTTCCAAATGCTTTCTTCGAGGCTGAAGCTGGGCAGGTCTCCAAAGGTGCAGCAGCCACAACAATCCCGCAGTTCAAAGTTAAGCAGCAGTTGCACAACTTCCAGCAGCTCCCTTCGCCTGCTGCTAATGAGCTGAAAGCCAGGGACATCTAACGAGGTGAGCAGGAAGCTTCCAGTCCGCCTCCCTTCATCAGAGACACCGGGCACTTCTGCCTCCCATCCTCAGATAACTTTGAGATTAAGTCCTTGCTCTTCAATTGCCTGGCGACCATGGCTCCCTTTGGAAGAAACTTGCTCAAGACTCGGCATAAAAATAGGTAAAGTCCAGCGAATGTGTGCTCCGGAGTTTGTGTGAAAGTATGTGATTTGTTGCAGTTGGGTTCTGGTGAAAATTGTTCTTTGGGGGCAGAGCCCTAGGGAGTGAGGTCTTGTATTTGTACTTAACTGGTGAGGATATTGTTTCAGAACCAGTGACTGCAGTGGCCAGGGCAAGGATCGCTGAAAATAATGATTTTTTTTTTTTAACTCATTTCCCTCCGCATTTGGCCCATCGTTGTACCACAATATCACCAAAATTTCTCTTTGTGTTGCTTTACATATTTGAGAGTAGTAGGCTAGCAAGTTTCATTTTGTTTTAGACAAAAATTTAATGTGTTTTTGGAAGAGTTAAATTATTATGAATACATAAGTAAAATTAATTAACCACTAATTAGAATGAAAAACACAGCTGCTGATACAATCCTGAAACAATGCTTTGGCTCTCCTTAAAGTAGGGCAGTCCTGAAACTTGAAAAGTTCCTGAAGGGAAAATACTCTGTAGAGAAACTTTTCATGAACTGGTTCTTTAGCAAATGTTTCAGAACTTTAGGTGGTTTTAGGAGGATTCAAACAGCTGTCCTCCTTAATCCTTATTATTAATATTTTACTTTGATTTGATTTCCTTTGCACTTTCAAGCCTGCAATGCCCATAGTGTAAATAATTTCTCTTTATCTCTGTCTCTCCCTCCCTCTCTCTCTCTCTCCCTACTTTCTCTCTCTCTCTCTCTCTCTCTCTCTCTCTCTCTCTCTCTCTCTCTTTCAGATTTTTTGAGCCAATATGTGTGTTTCAGTCCTATTAAATGTTTTATTAACACCTTCAATGTTACATCTCTATGCCAAAAATGTGAGGATAATTTTATACATGGGCTTTACTTTTTAATATATTTATTTTGGCATAAAGGCTTTTCCACAACTCTTCTCTCAGTCATGCCTGTTTGTACTTGTAATTTACTTGTGTAAATTTAAAAGCATACAATTAGATGGTAGGAAATGATACAATTATTTTAAAGTATCTGCATAACAATATGGGAGTGATAACACTTTAAAGTAAATCTCCGTAGTTTAATTTGTATATGAATGTCTATTTGAAACATTCTGTTTTTAACTCATTCCAAATATATTCATGATTCAGTTGACTAAGTTTGCTTAAGAAACTAAAACAGCAATAATTTATACTATAAAATTTTCTGAACCAGTTTTATTTGCTAATAACTTACAATATACCACAAATATGGTGTATCTGGTAATTGGTAAAACTGTGTTTAAATAAATAAATGTGTTTGGGTATTATTAAAAAAATGTTAGTGACGGTTATCAAAAATAGGTTTGTATCTTATACATGCAAAATATTCTAAAATACTCCCCTTTTCAAAATAAAATCCTTACTACTTTTTAAATAATTATTCAGTAGTATTATTTATGAGTATGTTTTTTTTAAATGCTGTCAAAATATATAGAAATTTCTTTGGGAAAGTTGATGGTTTTATAAGACAAGATATATTTCTGCCATACTGATATTTTGAATACTTCCCAGGTAGTTCAGGATTGTTGTGAGCATGCGCGTGTGTTTGTCTTTTGTTTTTTTTTTTTTATTATAAATTCAAGAATTCTGTCATTGGTATATTAAATAACAGTGCAATAAGGCTTTGCACACACCCCTCTGAGTTTCCCTCAGGGGAATACATGTCCACTTTCATTACCTCAGTTTTGCTACTGCTCCATCTACTCTGCCCATAAAGCTAATTTTCGTTCAAGGAGGTGAGTATAGAAACATTTTTAATATAACATTTTCTATGCAAAATTATGAAAAAGTGAAAAGAACAATAAAAAATGAGGAGTTTCATAGTATTTCAAGTTTCTCTGAGTAAATGGAATGGTGCTCCAAAAGGTGATGCTTTATTATGAATGTGTTTTCGCAAAGGTGGTAAGTGATATTTTCCTCTTATAATTGAGAGCTTCTGTTTACAGGTTTGTATTTTTCTAACCCTTAAGAAAAATTTAAACCACAGTGGTAGTCGAGTCTGTAAAAATAGGGGTATTTCAAACTAAGCAGTAAATAAGCCATATAGAGTATTGAAATATAATTATTTTGTATTTATTTTTTCAGTCTTTAGTATTGCTATTGATGATATATTTTTGTTTTCTTCTGTTTCATTTTTCCACCTGTTTCTCTCTTATTCCCCTCCCCCACCTTCCTCCCTTCCACTCTCTCTAAAAATCAATGGAGAAAATATCCCTGGGTGAGGATTAACAAAAAGCAAGAAAAAACCTGGTTGATATTTGATATAATGCAAAACCCAGGGAAATAGACAAATAATTATATGGATTTGGACACGAAGTTAATCTTACCCTACCAGATCATCTTCTAAATTTAAAAAAATAATTAAAAAATTTTAGGAAACAGTATGCAGGAAATTTGAGAATAAAATATATGGTCACAAAATGATTGTCTTTGGGCCAGCAAACTTTTTATGCTTTTCAGTTCTATGTTGCATATAAATAAAAGAAGTGGAGCCAATATAAAATTATTTGTTTACAATCAGAATTAATCTTTAACATTTTTCTAACTCATTAGTATTTAATAGCGAGAGTAATTTTCAGAAGAGCTTTTAGTCTCAGAAGATGGGTCGTTTACTTTGGTTCCAGAATAATAGAATATTCTGTGACTGAATCCTAAAGATCCATGAAGACCTTATGCAACTTCTTGTTCAACATGAAGAATAAAAATGTTGGAGATTCTAGATATTTTCTTTTCAATAAACTAAGATTCTGAAAGTGCTTTCTAAAAGTCACTAGATAGATATTGTTTCTCATATAAAAGCCAAAGAAGCAAATAGTGAGGCCGACTTGACTTGGCATTCATATGGACATTTAGTAATGGGATTTAGATTATTAGCCTTTTCAAATATTCACATAGGTTCCATTTGTGATCCTGATCATTTTTATATTAGATTTGATGGTCAAAATAATGATTGTTTTAAAAAATATTGCTACTAAATAGCAACCAGCAACTTTTTTAAAAAGTTCAGAGAAGTAGAATGCCACTAGTAAAGCTTTTAGGGATACTTGGTTGTGAGTTGTGATTCTTTGGGGTTTTCATTAATAAAATTTGAGGTCAGAGAGTTGCTTGGACCTTTTGCTAAACTTTGCTAGAAGCAGAAAATTGTCATAGTAAAGCAGCATCCCATATGTTTATTTGAAATTTAAAATAGAATATTTATTTAGGTGATTTGTAAAAGGAAATTAACAGTGATTATGATAGGATCTAATCTGGTTAACATGGCCTTATAATTATTGTTAAGCACTAGTTAGTCCACTCTTGCCTTTCCTTTGGCTTTCCCTATACCTATGGATATATGTCTATCGCAGGTGATAAGAAATATTGTCATAATATCAACTTGAAATTAAAAGTCTCCAAAAATGTTCTTGTAATAAATGTATTAGAAAAAAATACAGCTATCTTGTTTATAGTTGATACATAAAATCTGCATTTAAACTTGCTTTTGAATCAATTAGAACATATCTGCCAAGCTTTTTAAAACCAGGTGCTTTATATTGCTCCCATAAGTACATCATGCCATGAATGCTTCATCAGAAGGAATAATTAAGTTTTGTGGTTAGAAGAATTAAGTTTTGCTGGCAGGATAGATATTTTCCCTTTGTAATTAGAAGTATGGTAATTCGTGAATTCTGCAGAATGGGAAGTTATTATGTAATGTTTTGTTTGACCTACAATGAATATTTAAAATGGCCCCAAAACTGGATTGAGAAATGCCAGATATTTGAGTATGAACATCTTCTTAGTTCCCAGGAGTTCCTGAAAAAAAACTCCCTGGTAACTTAAGTAGTTACTAGTTGGCAGCAGACAGCCCATTCAGAACAATGAATGGAATGCTCTATTTCTGGCAAAAATATCCTGAGAACAGTAGCAGTGGTGAAATTGAGCTCTAGGTTAAATCTTGAATTGTTACTCAAACAACTATAAGCCAACTTAAAATCCACTACATAAGATGTGTTATTATGCCCTGTACTAATTCATGAAGCATTAAGGTATAAAGCTCTTAAATGGATTTTTTTGAAAAAAACGTTATAAAAATGCTGTAGCTGGCTAACGATTTTATTTACAAGGAAATTTGATAGTAGCTTTAAGTAATTCACAGAACGTGGCTCTCTTTATTTTAATTCTGAAAGTGGAAGAAAGTTGAAGTGGGGGCATGAGTTTACCTCTTTCAGGTGCATGTGGATTCCAGTTCTGGAAAAGCAATCTCTTTGTCTCTAGCTTATTAGTTTTCTGAAGTGAGGCAATAATCTACACCAGGTACATGTGAAAGTCAAAAGTTCAGCATACTTCTGTGTTCTAATATTTTTTAATGTATGTTTGCTTAGGAGTTTTTAAAGACATCTTTTTGGCTAAATAAATATACACAACACATATACTATTGATTTCTCAAGAATCAATTATTTAAAATATATTTTGATTCCATTCCTGTGGAGCCTGTTGTAATACTACTTTTTAGAGGAAGTTTGCATAGTTGTTGATTATAAAGTAAAGCAATTACTAATGTGAATAGTCATGCAGGGGTAAAGTTATTACTTTATGTGAATTGAATAGAGCCTTGGGAAGATGCTTAGCACTGGCAAGATATTTTAAGGATAAGGATAATCAATGAGAATTAAATATGCTGACAAAGAAAATTATCCTGAAAGGCTTATATCTGCAGACTATAAAGCCCTCTTGTTGTTTTGTGTTTTGTGTGTGTGTGTGTATGTGTGTGTGTTTTATAAATTAAGTAACTGAAAATAGTTATAAAAATTCTCATTGAGTATAGGCTTAGTGAGAGCAGGACTTTATCTTGTTTTTTTCTAGGTAACTAGTGAATAGGTGCTCAGTAAATATTTGTTGATTGAATAAATGGATTCAATATATACTCTCCAAATATAGCTGATCTCTGTACAGAACTTGGGTCACAGCAATAGAGCAGTATGTTTGATGCATGGG